AACGCAAGATGTTTGTAAACTTTGGCCTGTTTGAATATAGGGCAGGAACCCCCTTCGCACACTAGATAGCGCAGCGCTGGCAGGCCCAGCTTCTTCCTTTTCCTTCTCCATGTTAGTATTTCGATAGAGAGTCTACCAATAAATTTATATTGTTCGAGACTGTCACAAGGAGTGCTATAACCTAATCATTCTTCGACCGATTGTGGAGAGCATGACTCCCCTGGCGCAGAAGATGGTTGCGTGGCGATCTCAGTATTCTAACAACTCCGCCAGTCTGTGGCAGAGCAACTCAGACTTATCTGGGATTGATAGAGTTGAAACGTTCCTCTGATCTCGCTTTTTGAAACTTCCAATTTATTACAACCAGGATCGTCAATGCCAATAATATAACACCCCCAGAAATCAGCGGCCCCAGAATTGCGAACACACTAAACCCATATGCAGCTCTCATGTATATCGGACTTGTTTTCAACTGGTCAGTTGCAAGACCGAGCTGCATCGCAGTTAACGCGAGGGCAATATAGATTGTAGTTGTGGCTAGCCAGCCCAGCTGGTCTCGAAGGAAACTGGAGTAGTCCGGCCACTGGTTCATATAATAACCCAACCTGGTTAACAAGGAGATGCTGTTAAGCCGCCCGAGGCGTAGTTCGCCATAGTAAAACCGTCTGTGAATATCATTAGATATTGAGGGTGTCATAATTTCTTCCACAAATCTTTGCCAATCTGCCCATTGGCAGCTGTCCAGGTCACTCGGCAGTAGACCTATCTTCTTGGAAATGGCAAAGTCACTCTCGAAAGAAATAAGGGCTGCATATGTGAGCAAAAACCCAAGGGCTATGCTCCTCTGGTTTTTGATCATGCATTCTTTTGTCTTCACATTAACTTTCATGTTAACTCTCTTTTTACATAATGCTACCACTGACCTCTTTGATCCCAAGTGCATTCACAACCTTTTGGACACTGTAAGTGGGTGTTCCAAAAAGCAGAGGAGAGAAGGAAGCGCGGGATTGGCTTTAAGAATATTCGTCCACTCCCCCAGACTAAGTGCATGTCCATCTTCTCACAGAGTACCACTTCTCTTTGGAGTACCATTTGATAGTGTAACGGTCGAGGCGGCATTGGGAGTCCAGCAAGCCATAGATGCTGGTAAATACTGTCAAGCCTATCAACAGACAGCTCGGATAAAAGGAAGTTCCTCTCATTTGATTTCACAAGAGACAAACCGCCTTTGTTTGTTCGGTATGTAGATGGAAAAAACCATGCTGGCACAGACTCTGTGTGGTCAGGTAGGGATTCCTTGAACAAGTTCACTGTGAAAGGAGATGTTTTCCCAGTCTTTGCAATTAGAAATGTTGTTGCCATGACCCTAACACATTATTATAGTACCCACATTTCTCTTGGCTGCTGCGGCCCGATCCGCGCAAAATGACCCTCCTTGTCCATTGATTGTCTGGAAAGAATAAATCTGGGATTCTTGTTCCATCTTGCGTGTGAGAGGTTTGTATGGACTCTGGCAGATTCTTGCTCTCCTGCTAGAGTAGGTCTGGTAGCAGAATGTTATGACTAGGTTAAAACTGTGTCCTGAGTGATGAGCTCGCACCTGACCAGCGCACAGGCGCGTATTTCGACCAATAGAGATATTTGTCACTAAATGGTCGCTCGCAAAAGCAACAAGCGGGTCAACAGTGGATCAGTCTGGCGGGTGCTACAGATGCAGTCAAAAATTCCTTCCACATCACCTTCTCAGTTCTCAGCTTGGGAACAACAATTATTACCCCATATAATCCAAACAAGTCACAGCCTTTCTGACAAAAGATTACACACCCGAATTTTGAGATTACCGATCTCGCTACCACCTACAAAAGTGATTGACATAAAAGAACACCATTCAATCAGTTGCACTGTTATTAAAGGAGCACAAAACATCCTGTAAGTTAAATGCCTCACACACTTGCTGCGCTCGTGAGCGAGACATAGAAATGACCTACAACAGCCGGGATTTACCGGTGGTCACCCACCTACTAACCGGTCGGCGTGTGGCTTATGTGCAGTCAGTAGTCGGGTGGATGCCTCTAAACGGCATGAGATAGTAAGAACTCTTAGTGCTCTTGCGACTAGTATGGGTGCTCTATAGAGGGGTGTGATATTCTACGGCCAAGAAAACCCCTTTCAGGGGTGTTGATCGACCCACTTGTAACTTGACCAAATGGACAGGCCATGTCATTGGCGGCCTGCATGAAACAGCCTGGCATGTTGGTGCATGTACTTCGCCACTAGCACTGTGCATGTACCGTATCTGTGCTGGTAGACGAGCAAGGCAACATGTCATGAACAACGGGTTCTACTAGACACACGTGATCTTAACCAAGAATGTCAACAGAAGCTACAGCGATCAGTATAAACGAATTCCGCTATATCTTGGAGAAATGCATAATCAAATACATTGGTGTATTGATTTACCAAGCTTTCATCACTTTTGTTTACCAACTGGTTCATCTTCTGCGTGAGGTCCACCGCAAATACATTGTAATAATATTGCGGTGGTATATATCGTGAAATTTCTTTTGGGACTGGAGTGCCGCCAAGGCAAAAGCTGACAGAATAATATCCTGATACATTGTGACTTGTAGATTTAAGAGTAGAACAAAAAAAAAAAAAAAAAAAAAAAAAAAGAATAAAATAAAGCCATTACTGTTCCTGACAAGCGCTAACAGCTGCAACGCTAGATATTTTACGGGATTGCGACTACCGCAAATCGATCTGTTTCGGCCAATCATCCATGGTTATATGCGTATACACACGGCGATATTTCGAGGCATACCATACGAAATTGATTTCATTGGGCTCTGGCAGTCTCCCCTTGTGACGGTCTCGAGAAATAGGAGTATTGGTAGACTATCTGACGAAATTCTAGCATGAGGAGAGAAAGGAAGGGGGCAGAGCCTGCTTACGATGATGTTAACTACTATGCTCGGTAGAATGTCTCGGGCACTACTCGGGGTGAATCGAGGAAGAACTCTGATTGGGAAAACTATCTGCCGTATTCCAGGGATGCTGGCTGCATAGCCGTAGTCTTCGATCCTATCATCTTTCACCGCACCTGAACATATTTATATCTTTTCGGGCAGCAGTAGGTCGTATATTTCGGATAGAAGGGAATAAAGCTTTAATTGGTCAATTGGAGCGGCCAAAATATATGGAGGTCAACGGATGAGCTATTAGTATGTGAATAGGCCTCGAAATGGTGCGGTCCCGGTCCTATACTCGGCGACCAAGGACCGGAACACGCGATCTTGCGGTCCAAAAATGTCAGGACCAGACCGGACCATGGCCCCTTGCGGTTATGACCGCGGGGGACCGCAATTCCATAAAATTGCTCAGACTTTCCTTTTTTACATCTCAAGTTATCCAACCTCCTAGTGAGCGTGCACTTGGGAATAGAAGGGCTGAAGCTATATCAGATAAGCCGGGTCCTTTAATTGGATTAGATGAAGCCGATGAAATTCCTCTACCAGGTAATAGCTACATGCAAGGCGATTCTGAGCCATAGCTGCTCGTTACGAAAGTCTACAAATACGAGAAGATCAAGAGTTCTGTTTTGATAGGGTATATTCAACTGCTCGGAAGCCATCTAGACAACAGGAGCAATGAAGATAGGGTAAGACAAAGACAAAGATAAACTGAAGCATACAGGTAAAGATAGAGCATAACGAAGAACCAGATCATCCCAACGCCTTGCCTCCATGAACTCATAAACATCACTCGCTTGCAGGAAAAGAGAACAGAAAAAAGCCAAGAAAGCAAAGTACAAACATAACTGTTTTTCAAACCAACGCCGTAACTGCACGCTCTGTCCGTCTAATGTGTGAGAGAATCAATCCTGAAGACGCCAAAACAATTGAGCCACTACTGGCTGGCAGTATCCACGATAGTGGTAATATCAGCACCAATACCGATCGCGTTGCCGGCGGCATCGAGACCGTTCAAGGCCTTGCCGCCAGAGGAGGAGCCACCGTGGCTAGAGCCGTGGCCCTTGGGGGCGCGCTTCTGGTTGTTGACTGCCTCAGCGATAGTAGCAGCATCAGTTCCGATACCGATCACGTTGCTGGCAGCATCGAGTCCGTTCAAAGCCTTGTTGCCAGAAGAGGAGGGACGACCGTGGCCCTTGGGAGAACGCTTTGAGTTGGCAGCTTCGGCGATAGTGGCAGCATCGGCTCCGATACCGATCACGTTGCCGGCAGCATCGAGACCGTTCAGAGCCCTGTCGCCCGAAGAAGAGCCACCGTGG